GGAAGGCAAGAAAGGGGGAGGGGTGGCCTTGTTTGGGCTACGTTAGAATTTGGTAATCACACAGTAACTCGTGTAGGTGTGATTTATAGGCCCGCAGGACAAATTGAAGAGTTAGATAATCTATTAGTTGAGGAAATAGCTAAAATGACAATGAAGGGGGAAGTTATGATCATGGGTGACTTTAATTTTCCTGATGTAAATTGGAAAACAAAATTAGCTACTTGTGCCAGGAGCACACATATTCTAAACTCCCTACTGGGATTGTCTCTAAAACAAGTTGTTGAGGAGCCAACTCGAAAAGAGGCCATACTAGATTTAGTGTTAACAAATGGAGATTTTGTATCAGATATTACTGTAGGTTAACGTTTAGGATCCAGTGATCATCAGTGAGTGTGGTTTAATATAAGAACAGTGACTGAGTCACACCACACAAAAACAAAAAAGTTTTAGACTTTAGAAAAACAGACTTTTCTAAAATTAGAATATGGGTAGAGGAGTCATTATCAGACTGGAGCAATTTAAATTGAGTCCAAGAGAAATGGGATTATTTAAAAGTTGCACTATTGAAGGCAACAGAAAATTGCATTAGGCTTGTCAGTAAAAGCAAAAAAATCAAGAAACCACTGTGGTACTCCACAGATGTGGCCAAAATAGTTAAAAACAAAAAGTTAGCATTTAGGAATTATAAAAAAACCCAGAGTGAGGAAGACAAAAATGATCTATAAGATTAGGCAGAAAGAGGCTAAGCAAGTTATAAGAGCTTCCAAATCACACACAGAAGAGAAAATAGCACAGTCAGTAAAAAAAGGGGGATAAAACATTTTTAGATACATAAATGAGAAAAGAAAAGTAAAACAAGGATTAGTTAGATTAAAAACAAAAGAAGAAAGGTATGTAGAAGAGGATAAAGGTCTAGCTGACTGCCTCAATTACTATTTTTGTTCTGTATTTACAGATAAAAATGAAGGAAAGGGACCTCAGTTGAGAAAAAGGATAAATGAGTCATTTATTACACGTGAGTTTACAGAGGAAGAGGTTCTATTTCAACTGTCAAAAGTAAAGACAAATAAGTCAATGGGACCTGATGGAATACACCCAAAGCTAAAAGAGCTTAGTGGTGTACTAGCAAAACCATTAACATATTTATTTAACCAATCATTGTTAACAGGAGTAGTCCCAGAAGATTGAAAGTTAGCAAATGTTGTGCCCATTTACAAGAAAGGTAATAGGGAGGAGTCGGGCAACTATAGGCCAGTAAGCCTTACTTCAGTAGTGGGGAAAGTGATGGAAACCATGTTAAAGGATAGGATTGTTGAACATCTAAAACACATGGATTTCAAGATCAGAGACAACATGGGTTTACTTTAGGGAGATCATGCCAAACTAATCTTATTGATTTTTTTTGATTGGGTAACTAAAATTATAGATCAGGGTGGTGCAGTAGACATTGCTTACCTAGATTTCAGTAAGGCTTTTGACACTGTTGCACATAGAAGGCTTATCAATAAACTGCAATCTTAAGTTTGGATTCCAATATTGTTGAATGGGTAAGGCAGTGGCTGAGTGACAGGCAACAGAGGGTTGTAGTTAATGGAATATATTCGAAGCTTGGACTTGTCACCAGTGGGGTACCTCAGGGATCTGTACTTGGACCCATTCTCTTTAATATTTTTATTAGTGATATTGCAGAAGGTCTTGATGGTAAGGTATGTCTTTTTGCTGATGATACTAAGATATGTAACAGGGTTGATGTTCCAGGAGGGATAAGCCAAATGACAAATGATTTAGGTAAACTAGAAAAATGGTCAGAATGGTGGCAACTGACATTTAATGTGGATAAGTGCAAGATAATGCATCTTGGACGTAAAAACCCAAGGGCAGAGTACAGAATATTTGATAGAGTCCTAACCTCAACATATGAGGAAAGGGATTTAGGGGTGATTATTTCTGATGACTTAAAGGTAGGCAGACAATGTAATAGAGCAGCAGGAAATGCTAGCAGAATGCTTGGTTGTATAGGGAGAGGTATTAGCAGTAGAAAGAGGGAAGTGCTCATGCCATTGTACAGAACACTGGTGAGACCTCATTTGGAGTATTGTACACAGTACTGGAGACCGTATCTTCAGAAGGATATTGATACCTTAGAGAGGGTTCAGAGAAGGGCTACTAAACTGGTTCATGGATTGCAGGATAAAACCTACCAGGAAAGGTTAAAGGATCTTAACATGTATAGCTTGGAGGAAAGACGAGACAGGGGGGATATGATAGAAACATTTAAATATATAAAGGGAATCAACACAGTAAAGGAGGAGACTATATTTAAAAGAAGAAAAACTACCACAACAAGAGGACATAGTCTTAAATTAGAGGGACAAAGGTTTAAAAATAATATCAGGAAGTATTACTTTACTGAGAGGGTAGTGGATGCATGGAATAGCCTTCCAGCTGAAGTGGTAGAGGTTAACACAGTAAAGGAGTTTAAGCATGCGTGGGATAGGCATAAGGCTATCCTAACTATAAGATAAGACTAGGGACTAATGAAAGTATTTAGAAAATTGGGCAGACTAGATGGGCCGAATGGTTCTTATCTGCCATCACATTCTATGTTTCTATCACGTAGGAATACCCAAATATACATGGAGGCACATTTATTTAAAGTAAACGTGACCGTTAAAAACATGTAAATGACAAGGTTACCTTCACACATATATTTAATGTACACATTGAACTGAAGAAATAATCAAGTGTGTAGATTAAAAAATATTTATCTTTAGATAATCCTCCACCTTGAATCTATAGGTAGATATTTGGCACCATGCAGTAAGTATGTTAGGAATTATTTTCATATGATTCTCTATGAAATGCATTCCTTCATCAGAGGTACACAGTGTCTCCCTTTAAACTGCAGGTGAAATGCCAAATAATAATAATACATTGTTATTGTATAGGGGAACTGTGCGGTTTATATTATTGTTTTTAATCTTCTGTTTCTAACATTGTTACAAAATAGACCATTGTTAATGGGAAGACCGTCCTATCTAACCACTCAGATGTGCACCTTGTGTTCTGGACCAGTGTTTCTCAACCTTTTACTGAGAAGCACCCCTGCAGGACAGAAAACACACAGTGCGTCCCTCCCTGCCTGCCTGCCTGAGCTGGGGTAGATCCTTTTCCTGGGGTCCAGTATGGGGCTTGTGTAATCTTTGTGCTCTTCTAGCACTGGTCCCTTGCACGCAGTATGGTGATGCTGGGGCAAGTGTGACACCATAACCAGGCTCCCAGCATCACCTTGGGGTGCGTGAGGGAGCTGTTCTGGAAGATTAAAGAGTACAGCTCACTCGTTACATCCACTCTCGCCCAACCGAATGCCTCCTGGTGTCTGCCAACCCATCTTGGACTACCCCTCGGATACACGTACCATGGATTGAGAAACTAAGTTCTGGACAAAATAGTGTTCATACGAACCGGAAACAAAGAACACTTAAAACTGAATTTTTTATTCTTATCTAGAAAATGTTCTTAGTAAAATGCACATCTCGGACACAAAAAAAGCACTGCAGCTTGTTTTAGTGGTTATGGTATTAAGAAGCGGTTACTGAAATCTTTACTTTTAAGTCCAAACCATTTTCTCTACTGATAATATATATATATATTTTCTCTCTCGCGACAAAAGTTGTGGTGTTACTAGTATATAGACACTTCCTAGAAGTGTTTTAAAAAGTAGGAGATCATTTCATTTTACTTTGAAAGCAATTGCTTGCCCCTTTCTTAGCTGAAAAGCTAATGTTCTGTGTCTGAAAGAGAGCTTGAGTATATCGACACTTTCAACATACAATGGAAAAGACTTACATGCTTCCCTACGCCGCACTGTAAATAGACTAAAGTACATTTAATGATACAGTCACTATCATTGATACAAAGAAAGAAGAAAACGTGTTTTGTTAATGATGCATTGACTTTCAAACAACCAGGTTATATTTTACTAAGTGGATGCATTACAGAAAGAATCCAATGGAACTGCCATTATTCCTTTTACACGACAAGACCATCCCATTATTGGCTATTACTTACGTTATATATACAGCTGCCACCAAGAAAATTAACTCTTTCAGTCTAGTTGGTTGTTAAATGCAGCACATACTGTTGTGACACCCAGCAAAATGGAGTAAGTTTTTGGAATATAACAAAAATAAATTGTTAGTGGTTGCCGAGTAAAATGAAACTTTAAATAAAAAAAATAATAATAATAAATAAAAAAAAATATATATATATATATATATATATATATATATATATATCCTACTTTTGTGTTAAAATAATGTACCAAGTACAAATGCATAGAAAATATATCTAAGGGTTTATTCGCTAAACAGTGAGTTAGCGTGAACTGAGAACAAGATTTAATTGGAGTTGGAGACTTCACCATTTTCCAAAATAATCCTTAAATTAAAGTTACTTTCTCAAATAGTCAATTTTCTAGTGTTTATTTTCGCCAGAAATGAAAAATAAAAATCGTTTACATAGCCCCTCGATGATCAGAAATATTCAAATTATTTATGAACGTGCTAAAACTGTTGTTTAAAGAGCATTTATTTCTACTGTGTATTCTAATTATAACCTGCTAGCTGTCAGGACATGCAAAGCTGATTCCACGGTCACTAATTCTATACAAAGCCTTAAGTTAAAGCTCACGTCACATGGAAGAAAGAAAAGAATCTAGGAAGTCTGTTTAAAACCTGAGATTTTATATTTTAATCATGTTTTTATGATATAGATGGTCTACCTCTACTCTTCTAAAACCGTGATAGATTACCTTTGACACAGCAAATTACTGAACTGCATTGCCCATGATCCTCAGACAGTCTGAAGACTGGTTCAGCATCATAAGAATTGTAGTCTACCAGCAATAAATTGATACAGTTCCACAGATGGATGTTGTAAGGAATTATCGGTTTGCTATTTCATGAGGCATCTGAGCGACTCCATCACTTGGTTAAATCCTCTATAATCACACATGAAGGAATCCTTGAAGCCTAAGCCGTAATCTCTGATTCTTTATTCATCGCTCTCCCAAGATGATTGCACAAAATCTCTGCTCCTTGCAGTGTTTAAATGTATTTCTTAACGATCCAAACAAACTTAAAATATCTGCAATTCAAAGCAGCTGATTGTTTAAATAGGACAACAACTTTAAAGTTAAAAAGTTTGTTTTTATAAAGTACAAGTATTATTTATCTGGAATTTAACCACTCAATAAAAACATAAAAAAATAAAAATAAAACACTGTAGGCACCCAGACCACTTCAAGTCACTGTCCACTTAACCTTGGAATGTTAAACATTGCTGTTTCAGAGAAACTTCAATGTTTATATTAAATGGTTAAGATTTCCTACTAGACAGCCACTAGAGGTGCTTCCTGGAGTTTCATGGAGTGAAAACGCTGGACCTTCTCACACTTTGCATTAGGACATCCAGCCTATTGAAATCCCCCTTGGGAAAGCATTGAATATATATGGTGAATGCCTATTGAGCATGTGCCACTTGCCGAGCATGCTCATTAGGTATCCCCAGATTGCCATCTGAGGAGGAGCCCGAACCAGTGCTGAGCTATTTTTGTTTCCCAATTGGATGGTCCAATTTTATAAAATGCATATTACAAATGTAGCAGTTCACATCACAGTTGAGTTTAGGCACCTCCAAGACACATAATGAAAATGAGGAGGACAGAAACGTCGTATCAGTTTATCTTCTTCATCATGTTCAGTGGCAGAAACTGGCAACATTTCTAATTTTGATTGACAGGGAGCCAAGATGGAGGGACCCAGTTCCACGATATATTTATATGAATTTCTACCTTTAGTTTTTTTATTTCAAACTTCACAAAACCATATTTGCTAAATATAGGGAAAGAGTAAGTAAATATTGATAATCCTGGGAAGTGACAGTTCCCCTTTAAACCCTTAATGACGAGTGACGGACGAGGTCCGTCACTCAGGGGATTGCCATAACGACGAGTGACTGATCTCATCCGTCACCCCTTAAAATTAGCCCCGGATCGCGGCGATTGCGAGGTTAATGGTGCTCCAGTCTGCCTCTGTATTAGAGGCAGACCGGGAGCACCCGATCAGGCTGCCCCAGCACATGTGCTCGCTCTGACAGGATGTCAGAGCGAGCACATGTGCTGCATATACTCACCTTCCACCTCCCTGCACTTCCTGGTTCTGTGTGAAGTGCAGGGAGCCGGAACAGTGCTGATCCTGCCCCCTGTTAAAAAAAATAAAAATAAAGTTTATTTAAAATCCTCCCCCACTAATTTTAAAAATTAACCCCTTCCCTGCCAATTGATGCCTGACTACAGTGATCAATTGGCAGGGATTACATTTTACTGTCATCTGATTATTTATTTTTTAACCCCTGAGGGTTAATTTTTTTTTTTTAACCACCAGGAGTTACATTTATTTACTTAATTAATTTAAATATTTTAAAATTATATATTTAGCTAGCTGGGGTGGGTGGAAGTTAGTGGGGAATTGGGGGATTTGGTGTTAGGCTAACTAGGGGTTAACGTTAAAAGTTTTAAAATAAACTTTAAAAAGTTAAAAATTAAGCTAAACTCCCCCCCCAAAAAAAACCATTTACCCAGTCCAAATAAAAATTAACCCCTTCCCTGCTAGTCTATCACTGCCTACAGTGATCAAAATACAGATCACAGTATTATACTGTGATCTAATTTTTTTTAACCCCTTAGGATTAACTTTTATTTATTTTTTAACCCTCAGGGGTTCAATTTATTTAATTAATTAAATATTTTATAATTATATATTTTGCTAGCTGGGGTGGGTGGGAGTTATGGGAAAATGGGGAATTTACTGTTAGTGCTGCTTACTGCTAGTTAGGGGTTGACGGTAAAAAAAAAAAAAAAAAAAAGATTAGAAAAATGTTAAATCTGTAAAAAAAGTTCAGGAAAGTTTAAAATAATTAATAAGCAAAACAAAAGTTTCAAAACTAGTTTTTAAAAGTAAGAAAAGTTTCAAAAAGTAAAAAAAAAATACATTTAAAAATGCTCATTACCACTACACCTGGAACAAACTAGAGAAAAAATTATCCCACGCTAAGGTTCAAAATATGCCTTTTGAATTACCCCAGGGTGTATTCTTTAATAAATAGTACGTGTTTGGGGGAAGTTTCAATAACCAACCGTCTAAGCTACTCCAAATTGGAACATGGACACAGCGTAAAACTTCAAAGTTAGAAAAAAACAGAATGGCTGCGTCTCAAATGTGCCCCTTCAACCTCCACATATACCTGGCAAAGGTACATACAGGGGTATTGCTGTACTCAGACGACATAGCTGAGCAACATATGAAGTATTATACAGTCGTAGCACACATAAGGTTTGCAAAATATACTGTGATGAAACTCACTTTGTGTGTCAAAAAGGCAGAAAAAACACTTATTACCACTACACTTGGCACAAGCTAGCGGTAAAATGATCCCATGCTAAGGTTCAAAATATGCCTTTTGAAATACCCTGGGATGTCTTCTTTAAGAAATGGTATGGCTTAATGGGGTATTTGGATTATATAGCCTGGTAAAATACTCTATAATGGGACATGGGCACAGCGTAAAAATTTAAAGTTTGAAAAAAAGTGGAATGGCTGTGTCCCCAAATGTGCCCCTCCGATATACCTGGCAAAGGTACAAACGGGGGTATTGCTGTACTCAGCCGACATAGCTGAGCAACATATGAAGTATTATACACTGATAGCACACATAAGGTTTGCAAAATACACTGTGCAAACTCACTGTGTGTCAAAAAGGCAGACACTTATTACCACTACACTTGGTACAAGCTAGTGGAAAAATGATCCCACGCTAAGGTTCAAAATATACCTTTTGAAATACCATGGGGTATCTACTTTAAGAAATGGTAGGCCTTTGTGGGGTAGTTTGAATTTAAACCCTACTAAGATGCTTGGAAATTGCACATAGGCCCAGCGTCAAAATTCAAAGTTCGTTAAAAATTGATATGGCTTGGTTTCCTATATGGCACTGTAGCTTCACGAAATAGAGCCAAAGACATTCATTGGGGGTGTCTTCTTATTCAGAAGAATTAGCCGAGCATAATTTCAGGGGTTTGAACTTAGTGGCACATGTGAAATATACAAA